ACAGTGACATAAGAAATCATGGATGACCAGACACAGATAGCGAACATCAGGAAACGAATAAAACAGCATTGCCTTATGAACGGTTTGTTAATGAAAAACAGATTCATAGACAACTGATAGTTAACTGAAAGTCATAGTTCCCTAACTTGAAAGTTAATCAGCAATTGAAAAACCGGGCCTAGGTAGAATTTCAATCGTTTCACAATCTGACAGCAATATCTGAAAGGAAGTTTATCTATTCGAAAAACATTTTGATTATGTTTGCATAATCTTATTCAAAAAGGACACGTTTCAAGAGTGTGTATGTTGCCATTGCCAAAATTGCATCAAAAAATGTTTAAACAATTTTTTATACAGATTTCAAAATTGTTTTGTTTTCTCCAGTCAAAGTTTATTTTGCTTATATTGAACAGTTCCTAAATATTTTTCAAACATTCATTAACCAAATCCCAAATCATTTTAGATATTGTTATTTTAAGCCTTAGTTTCTCGATTGTTTATCAACAGGCCCGTTTAGAGAGTTTGTTTTTGGATTTTGATAGTACGTCTTATATCAATAGAATTAAAAAAACTGAAGCTTCAGCCCATAAAAATGACAAAGGCTTATTATGATATGGCTTGCTGGAGTCTAAAAGTGAGTATTAAACACAGAGTTGTGGCTGCGAGACCTATTTATGCTATTTGGATGCTTACTAAGCAACCGCAAAAAGCACTATGCGTGTAGCAGATTAGTGATAAGTTGTTTTATGCTGACTCTGCCCACTCAATAGTCTGATGCAACATTCCATTATAAACTTCATAGTTACTAAGTGAAACTGGCATATTTGGCAGTGTTTTAAATATTAAATCGCTTATCTCACTACTATAGAGAGAAGCTCATAGGGACATTTTTGTTCAGAATAACCCAAACAATCTAAAAAATTTTGTCCGGAGCGAAGAAACAATGCGTGACATTTGTCTAAAAACATTGTTTAAACAGTTCTTTCGCAATTTTGGACCTGACAACATCTAAATTTCTTGAAAGGGGTCCTTTTTGAATAAGATTATTCAAAAAAGAATCAGAATACTTTTCCGAGCAGATGCGAAGATACTTCCTGGACTATTAGTCAAGTCATACCAAAAACATTGCAGGCCTGTTGCTGACTAGCCTACTGCAGCTAGATAATGCAGTTTAGAAGCACCATTAACACCAGTACAGTTTCAAAAGCAATACTCCCTGGGGCGAAGAAACATCCACAAAACCTCGATTTCTTTAGTCGATTTGACCGTATACTAATTGCTGGCAATTCCTAAATGTCTGAATGTTAAACCAACTTGAGTATTCATTCCAATACTACATATACAAAATTCCTTGCTATTGTGATCATCATTGACCATCTGACGGTTTTCCACTGAAATATCCTAAACGATATATAATGACCATGCCGATCATTCTCCCGTAATTGAGTCATTACTAGGTATTACAAAATCAACGGGTGATTATCAACAATCAGAATTCTCATGGATGACTTTAATTAGTAATAAAAGTTCGAGCTTCGAGCAGCAGCTCCTGGCTTCATACAGCACTCACACATCTGTCGCTATCATCCCAGATGTCTGTCTGTCCGTCTGTAGGTTGTTGGATCTATTTTTTCGTCTCGTTGCTTGCGTTTCTTACATTTCTTGGCTGTTGGCCGACCTCTGTTGGATTCACTCTCTTTTTAGGCCGGTCGATGTGGACTATGGCAAAATAGGAAAAAATGCAAAAATATTTTTCATGGAAAATATGTTAATAGAGTATTAAAATTCGTGGAAAGAGCTTAATTCAGTATCTTCGATTCTTCTCGGAAAAATCTCCTTTTTCGATTTTTTGCATAATCTTATTCAGAAAGGACCCACTTTAAAGCATGTTGCCATGTTCAAAATTTCGCCAAAGACTGCAAAACAAGGTTTTGGGTAACTTCCATTAATTGTTTTTTGTCTGCTTCGAGCAACGTTTTTTAGATTGTATGGGTCATACTCAACAAAAATGTCCTCATCAACTTTTCACTAAAATTGATATAAGCGATGTGAAATTTGTAAAAAATACGACATATGCCATTTGCACAATACAAATGTTATCTGATGTTGTCAAAGTTCCCAAACATTCTTCAAACATCCATTGCTGAAATCCCAAAGCATTTTAGGAGGTACAGTTATTGTAAACATTTGTTTTTAGTTGTTAATCAAATGGGCGTGCTTAATGTTATACACTGCGTGAGCGAAAGAGATATGCAGAATATACATCGAACGGGCGATTAACAATTAAAAACCAAAGGCTTACAAGAACAATACCCCATATAACGCTTTGTGATTTCGTTGATGGTAGTTTTTCAAAAATTAAATGTCTTGTATTCCGAAAATTATCGACTTAAGAGAAAATTCAATAAGAACCACATTTGTCAAGAATGACCCGAAAAGTCTAAACAAAAAAACTTTATCCGGAACGAAAAAAAAAAAAACAATATTTTAGGCCTGACAATATGCAGATTCGTTTTATATTATGCAAAAAACTGAACTAGTTATACGTTACTCGAATGGGAACTTACTATAATCCACGAATGACGTCACTTCTGTTTATGACAAGGTATTTGAGGTTATGCTCACTAGTATGGCAGCTGTGATAACAGGAGTGACGTCATCATAATTGGAGCTCTGGTTTCGTGTTTTGTAATTTAAGTTTTTTGTAATTGCATTTTACTTTCCTAGAAACGGCTGTTACATTTTATTGCACTTGTATATTTTTGTAGGATTGTAAATAAATGAATGAATAAATCATTTCAAACATTCAGCATTTCTTCAAATAACTTGTTTTGTTTTCGTTTTTTATACTACTTAAGATTCTTTAAACTAAAAGCAAAAACAAAACATATTTTTCGTATTGATAGGAAGTAGTTGTAGAATTACTTTTTTATCATTACGGATACTTCTGTTTTCTTAAAGTCAAATTGGTAGATATAAATAGACGATACTTCAGTGCTGAATGTCACCTACGCTACACTGAAGTAAATTTTGTGTACATTGCACCGTATTTTCTTAATGCTCACTACCTAAACCCTAATTTTGAGGTTGATTACAGAAATAGCACTAGAAATAAGAGAAATTGAATAGGATGTAAATCGAGATTTGCCCCGTTATCAAAAATACTCTATCTTCTCTTAATACTCCAGATGTCTTTTATTTGATTCCATTTTAAGGTTCTTCATCTTTATGAGTGTGCATGCAGTATTTATTCATCAATCTGTCACAAAAAAACAATACATTTAATTTCACTGGTTCTGTCAAGTGGAAAGATTGAGTCGTCAAAGCCATATTTATGCGTGCGTTGACGCTAAGCTCAGTACTTGAATATCACTCAACATTGGAGTATCGAAAACATATATAAGCCTTTAGCATCTAATAATCTCGTACTATATGGTTTTCAAAGTGGGTGGCCCGCTAATATAGACGTACAAGTCAAACTTAAGCAGCGATTAATAGTTAATTTTCGAGCGTTTTTGCCTTTGTATGAGAATTTAAATAAATCGAAATGACTGGCCGGATTTCTGATGTTTGGATTTAATTGGGTTTCTTTCGTAACTGAATCGCCGGGTCCGCGTCCGGTGTCATTGATTCTTTATTTGTGTTTGAATTAAATCAAGAGTTAGATACAAACGCGGATATTCCGGACCACCTTGCACGATGCCTTCAGACTAAGTGGCAATTGACAAGAGACCCGAAATGTGTTGAAATATGGTTTGAGTCCTGGGATGATACAAATTCTGACATACATCTACGTTTTTATCAAATTATATTTTCCAAATATCGGAGAAGCGGGAAGGCTTAGCCTGAAAACTAAGTTTTTTTTTATACTCCAACCACCACGAAGGCCTAAGGCCCAAGCACCCATTGGGTACCGTGGGGCTATAGGGGGATACATGGGAAAAGGGGGGACGCCACACGGACTCTGGCGAGGGAGCACGTGTGAATGCAACATGCACACATTCTGGCTCGTGGTACCGTGAAATGAACTTGGTTAGCGTGGAACGAAGGAACGGTTTTACCGGTCAGTGCTCAATGTATAATTACAGCCCGATCAACTCAGAATGAGAAGCAGAAGCCTGGTAGTTCCATCTGGCAGGCCTGTCTATACGAGTATAAAGGAGCCAAATCATAGACTTTTGGTTGATGTGAAAGAGGCTTTAAACTATATGTCAAGGATGTTAGAGTATAAATTATGGAAACATTTCATGATCCCGAAACTAGCCGGACTACTGACACAAAGTTTATTCAAAAGTCTGCTACGTTAAATTTCCTTATGATGCAAAAAGCAAAATCCATGTGTCAATATTCCTAAGACCAATACTGGAATATCTACCAACCTGTCGCAAAATATACGCCGCACGCCTATGCCATGTCTGTATCTTTGCTGCCAAGGCCTATTAATTTACTTCTGTCTTCGAGATGTGTGATGGTAGCAGCACCAGGTGCGGGGAGGGAAACCCAGGTTGTATAGCCGTCAATTTATGGCCGTGTCGTCAGTAGTTCCGACAATTGTACGACGACTTTATGGCCTCCTTGATTTACATAGTTTTTTCTGTCGTTGAGAAAGATTTCTCGTATTCGGTGTGAGCGCTCTATTTTGAGGTTATGTTTCCTTTTTGAATCCCAAGAAATTTTAGGCTGATCAAACTTAATTTTTATCATCTGTTTTATTATCCTGAAAATATAGAAATATATTCCAGCCTTTCTGAAGGGGAGAAAAGTATGAAAATCAAGGAGGCGACCTACAATTGTAGGAATGACGACACTGCCCTAAGTGCCACAAAATACTCTCAAGCACTACGATCTTCGTAGATTATTCTCTTTCTATAGAAATCACGTGAATGTGCGAGGTCAGAGTTTTTTGATCCCTGATTATTGAGGTGGCTTTGAACTAAGTACTTCCAAACGGAATGTTCTACCTTTCCCACAGACTATTATAATTCTTCCCTAACATAAAGCTACGTGCTACTGGCCGTCTTTCTAGGCATCTCCTGCATTTCGTCTTCTTTCTCAGACAGCGGTATCGTTGAGTGGATGTACAACCCTTGCGCCATGAGTTGTACGGCAATGGGTCCACTAGCCTTCATGCTCTTGGCCCTATCATTTTGAAACCAGATCTTAATTTGAACCTCGTTTGAGAAAAGGCTGTGCGGGGTCGTTTCTCTCTCCTCGGACCTGGAAGAACGGAAATTATATACGGCATGGTATTCAGTTGGTCATTGTCACAGGGACGGAAAGCAAACAGATCAAATTATGTCTGTGTTTAATTTGCAACCTTTGCTTAGTACACCACTGCTGGTAGCACGGTAGACACTTGAGGTCATATCGTCAGTCGTTCCTACAATTGTAGGATGCCTTTATGACCTCCTTGATTTTCATAGTCTTTTCTCTCCTTCAGAAAGGCTGGGGTATTTCCAGATTTCTACTGTTCAGTGTCAATGTCAACACTCTAGTATTGTGAGGTTTTCTTTTTCGATCGTAGGAAATTTCAGGCTATATAACAGATGATATAAATCAAAAGCATCAACAAATTGATGCAAATAGATGTTTATAACATCTTCAAAATAGAGCGCTGACACAGAACAGTAGAAATGCCTCCTTGATTTTCATATACTGTTCTCATTTCCAGCGTCAGCGCTCCCGTATTGTAAGGTTATGTTTTCTTTTTGAATCATAAGGAATTTCATTCTGGTAAAACAGTATTGATGATAATAATATCAAAAAAGTTTTATCAGCTTGAAATTTCTTAGACTTCAAAAAGAAACTATAACCTCAAAATAGAGCGCCTGCGCGAAATAGTTGAAATCTATAAATACCCCAGTCTTTCTGAAGGAGAGAAAATACTATGAAAATCAAGAAGGCCATAAAGTCCTAGAATTGTACGAACGACTGACGAAATGGCACTTAGTGTTTGATTGGTCTGATTAGGACCAGCGTATTGATTTGACGTCTGATATATGCACGGAGATCAGACGCTTGTTAATAAAGAACGTCTTTCTGATGCCAAAGATCCAAAATTTACAATAGTTTGCTCCCTACAGCCCGCAACTCACAATTGAAATCACAATTGGATAAAGGTGTCATGTAACCAAATCATTGTACCTATGGGGAAAATTGACTTTAAACATTTTGTATTGGAACTTTTTACTTTATTGAAATTTTAAATGTAGTTTAATTAGTTTTTTATCATCTTGTTCTTGCAACAAAGAAATCACAGAATGAAAGAATCACTCCTTAAGGTTAGTTTATTGCAAAAAAAGTATTTTAAAACAAAACATCTTTATCTAATTGTGTCCTCAATTTTCAGCGTCTGCACAATTCTTCTGAAAATGATCAGGAGTAATTTCTGTCCTCTTAAGGCCGTAGCTTTGCCATCACTGGATCGATTTTCAAAAACTAAAACGCATTTTCTTTCTTCGCATAGTATCAAGCTTGTGTCATAGTTTTTTTCTGGAAGATACTCCTCTCATGATCGTAAATAGAGGAAAACTAAGAGTAGCTTTTTGGTGGAAACGGCGGTTCAAATTATGACGTGTATTTTTTATAGACCTGTAAATTCGCATTCTGGTAAAAATTATCACATTAATAACATAGTGTTACTGACGCTACACACCACTACTGTGGTTTAATGTTAATGACAGTAGCTTTACAACGCACTTCGTTATACCCTCTTTCCAGATGCCATCCTGTACGTGGTTGTGTGCAATATTAGAAACCTGCACTCACGCACGTTCAGCAGAACCGCTAAGTAAGAGTAATAGATATGTTTGTTGAGATAAATAGACGGTTTGAAGCACAGGTAATAACAGACCTGATGATTATGGGCCGTTTTCAAACGAAACGTGAGAAAACAACCGGAATATTACTGCGGAGGAGCTCTACACTGCACCGCCGTTGTTGTTGGAAAAACGTCCTACTTTGTTATTATCATCAATCAGACCGATGCACCTATTTTTTTCCATTTTTCACTTGTTTTACAATTAGCAAGGGCAAGATAAATGTTGATCACATGCTTGCGCATTAACAAAACAGCTGATTCTGGAGGGTAAATGAAAAACCAAGGCAAACATGATAGACCAAACATGATGCTTTCATTCGCCCGAAAAAGGCAGCCAACCATGGACAGCGATTTCGTGCTTCTTGGTTACTCATCAGCATGGTCTAGGCTTGGTCTTTTGTCTCCGGATGAATGGACGAAAGCATCGCAACTATCCTTTAGACCGCATGTACAGTCTATCGAAATAGGACAGCGCAAAGCTCCATCGAACACACCATAATATATATATATACAGGGTGACCCATCCATGTGTGGACGGAATATTACTCATAAACAAATATATTTTGGGCAAATCTATTTATGGCATGTTATACATGACATTTGAGGGCACATTTCTAAAATACTGCCTCATTTTTTATTGTATATTTGGATAAACCAATTCAAAAGAAGAAGATTCATATAACATACTAGGGTGTTTTGGTAATTAGCTACTGAGATGTAAGGTGTTTTGTCCAGAGAAACCGTCCACTTCGGCAACCCCTCAATCCACCATTTTGAAATTTGGAGTGCTGGATTTTGTATCAAAAGAAACTTACACACCTCAGCTTATATCTTATTTATTACCTTTTCGATTTTTTATTCATACAAGGTTCACAAAAATCTCAAATTCATCACCCTGTATATTTGTGCATGTTTGGACTCAATTTTTTTTTGGTATAAGGTTTGATTCAGATAAAGTCACTAGATTTTGAGTTAAGCTTTTAATAGAACATTACACCAAAATTAAGGAAAAAATCACATCATCCATGGAAGCAAAGACAATGGGCTAGTTCCATATTGCCACTATGAGTACAGATCTGACGTAAAAACTAATAACGATTAGAACAGTATAAATCAGCTTCAAGCGTAATAGAGAAAAACAACTATAAAAGCAACATAAACAAACAACTATCACTACTCAAGACCTAATGTACAAAAACTGCTCGAACATATCTCTACCATGTTGAATACACACCCGTAGTCTTTGGATAAATGACCGTTGCACATCCCTTAGCATGTGTTCCCTTATGTTCAGAAAAGCATCTTTAATCCTTTCCTTCATATTTTCCGGGGTAGATGCTGGATATCTATAAACCTCTTGCTTAACGTAGCCCCATAGAAAGAAGTCCATCAGTGTCATATCTGGTGATCTAGGAGGCCCATGATGACCGATCCAACGACTGTTACTCCATGTGTCCAAATAGTTACGCACACGATTATGATAATGCGCAGGTGCGACGTCATGTTGGAAGTACATATGCATCCGAGTTTGCGGGTTGACATCCTCCAAAAGCAAAGGCAAATGCTCGATCAAAAAATTCAAGTATTGTGTACCTGTTAATCTGTTGTCGAAAAAGAAAGGCCCGATAACTTGTCTGCCAATAACACCTCCCCAAACATTCAAGCTCCATTTATTTTGGAAATCTATTTGCCTAACCCAGTAAGGGTTTTCCGTCGCATAATAGTGCATGTTATGCCTGTTGACAACACCTATGCTGTTAAAAGTTGCCTCATCGCTAAAAAGAACCTTATCCAGGAAAGTAGTATCTTCAGTCACTTTATTTAGCATTATTCTAAAATCCGCATTTCCTATTTTTTGTTATATACATTTCTCCGCACGATTATTTTCTCTCTCTCTCTCTCTATATATATATATGTTGGAGCTGTTGGTACTACGCAGTGGTCGATTCTGATGTGATAGATGGCGCTTTGCGCCGTAATAAAGATATGGATTAGGATTGTGACACAGAATATTTTAGCCTTTATGTTGACCCACCTTGCTCCTTTGAATCGAAGAAACAAAGCCGTCTTGCAACTGCATCCGATTGGATGCATTTGTCTTGCAGACAAAACAATGCTTGCATGTAATGATCTTGTGGTACTACTGTATCAAGGACACTAGAATAGTCTTTGAAAATCGGTCCAATGAGGAAAAGGCCAACAACGAAAAAGAATAAACATCGATCGATTTCAGAGGATCCCAATCTAAATTTTTTGATGTTAGTACATCATACGCTCCCAACCTTGGTAATTCCACGCACTTATTAGACATATTTCACACACCATAGATTTCTCCGTACATCAGCCCGCAAAACTTAGAAAAATAGTCTTAGCAGGCGAATCACTACACACACAGCATAGTGTTTCCTATGCTCTGACCGCGTTGCCACGTCTGATCGGGCTAAGTATCAGGGGGCGGCAACGTTTTTTAGATCCACCAGCGCTAGAGCAGGAAAATAATAATGTCGATGGACTAATCGTATGGGCCTGTCTTAATGACCTTTTTCTCAGATTCTAGATTCGTGCTGAACATAATGCTTTATGAACTGTTAACGGCATTGCGTGGGAAGTGCGAAGTCAAACTACTTGACGCCATTTCTATTCTTTGCGACCAGGTTTGTCTTTTTATCAAGAAATCGTACATTTTATATTATAGATATGTTGAGTTAGTACAAGTGAATATAAAATGGAACTTAAAACGTCATACAGCTAATGCTATTAAGCGTAAAAGTGCTGAACCGTAGCGCTGAACCGCTTTACGTTGGCTGAACGTGCTCATTGACTGTTTTATTGGGTTATATTCTTCGAGGTCTGTAAACTAAGTGATGAGGCTGGTTTTTTAATTTTTATTCAAATATAACTAGAATTTTATATTGTCATCCTCAAAATAACTTCATTCTGGAGTCACACAGCGCTGAAGACGGTTGTTTCACTCCTCATAGCAGTGCTGGAACTCCGATACTGAAAAAAACAGATCCTTGAAGTGATTTTTCAACATCGGGAAGGCAAAAAAATTACAAGGACTCAAGTCAGGCGAATAAGTAGTAATGCTTCTACTGGCCAAAAACTATTGACATTCCTGAAGGAGCGTTATCGTGATGTAACACCCATTTGTTTTTGATCTGATGAACGGTGATGTGAGTCAAATTTAACTCTTCCCCGATCATTCTGACTGTTAACCGATGATCTGAACGGACAAGATCGCGATCTTTGTCGATATTTGTCGGTTCTTGAAGATGCAGGACTTCCGCTTCTTGTTGCCAGTCACAT